GGAAATGCGCAGGAAATCATTCTAGACAAAATGAGGACTCCTTGCAAAGTGGAAGTTTAAGACATCAGGTTCAAAGCAAAAGACACACAGGGCATTGAAGAAAGAAACTAGTTGAAAATGAAACAAAATAAAAACTTTCAAATAAAAACTTTGTTGTAATAAATTCCAAAATTGAGAGTGAGAAACAAATATTATTAGCTGACCTTGGGAAAGCAGCAGCAACGAGAACAGTGAGAGATGGACCTCACCACACATGATGACACACCTAGAAGAAGAAAAAAAAAACATGAATTTGTCATATTCTAAACTTTTCATTTTAACAGTGCTCTAATGTTTCCATACACACATTTGAATTACTATTCAAATATGTCCCATATGCTATAATGCATTAGTATCATATTAGTATCAAAGGGTCAGTCTTACACATATGTTATAATGTTGGTCCTTCATCAAAAACATACAAGGCGTTGTTTGATTAAAAGGAAGGAAGTGCTCCACTATGTTTTTAAACTCCATACACCTTCACTAGAATCACCTGGGTGACTTCAGCTCTGGAACTGCCAATCTCTACAGAACAAAAGGTAAAAGGTAGCCATTAACTTGAAAACTACCACTACATGACATCACAAGCAACAGAGCATTTTGAGCTTTGGAGACGTAGATACACTAATAATAAAGGGTTAATCAGACATGAGTGAATGAAAAAAAACACAACTCCAGGTATGTTTTTGAGGAGGTAAAAGCATTGTAGCATGGCTTAAAGCTCACAAGAGCAAATTCTGTGTAATATTGGACCTTTAAAGCCAATGTTGTGAACCTGAATTTAATTTATTCCAGTTAAGATAAATGTACTTTATATTAAGCAATGTATTGTAAAAGAAGCTAATTTAGTAAATAATGAGACTTTAAGACATGCTAGTATAATATGCATTTGGTGGATAAGAACAAGTACAGGAAGCCACTGCCAGACACCATTTTTTATCCAGTTAGTAACAGCGTGAGTCTATCCCTGACAGCTGATTCTCAGTGATCAGAGTGACAGGAGGACTAAGTGGGCAGGGCTAACCGTTCAAACTAAAACACGTTTGTGACTCACTGTTTACAATCAGACCCTTTAATACAGGTGTTCAGGGTGGTTCATTATGGTCCATTATATACAGAAGCCGCAGTATTTCCTACAATAGATGCCTCACTCTCCCATGACTATGTTAAAGAATAATCTGTGTTATGACTACCACGCTGCTCTCAACTGTCACCACAAGATTACACAGAAAATATATGTTCGGCCTCTGTGCTGTGGTATGCTGGCTAGAAAGGTAACAAGGATAATGGCTGAGGCTCTTAATGCTTTTGTTCTCAACCACTGGGTCAAATGTGGGATGTGGGCATGTTCTTACCAAGTAACAGGTGGAAGGAAGCTACAAGAAATCAGTTATGAAAAATATCTTTTACTTTTAAAGGTCTTATATGAAGCAAAATTGACTCTTGAGAGCTTTAAGCTATGTTCAAAAGCTGTTACCTCATTAAAAGCATACCTGGAGTTGTGTTTTGTTTCATTCACACATATTTGAGTAACCCTGCATTATTAGTCTGTCTACATCTCCAAAGCTCAAAATGCTCTGTTCCATAATGTGGTTTTCTCTTTTACAATGGTCAGAGATGGCCGATTTGAGTTGACCACTGTAAAAGAGAGAACAATATTAAGGACTGGGTGGAGCAAACATCGTCACTGGATTAAAGATTCAATCAAATTACGGAAACATGCCCACGAGACTATAAACCGGGACGAGGGGGCTGGGATACTGTCCTGAGGAAGTTGGACTTCAGATGGCACTGTCATCCTTCCTCCACCGGTAGGAAGACAGTGCCAAAACCTGTATAAATCAGCTGACCAGACACATTACAGCAACATCACGTGACCACTCTGAGGAAGACCGCTAGTGAGCAGTCTAAACTATCAGGTATGAAAACAAAGTCTTGGTCTGTAAAAAGAACATAATAACATATCTTTAACTTTAGTTTAGTAGAGATTAGCAATTCCAGAGCAAAAATTATCCAAATGATTCCCGTGAAGGTGTATGCATTTGAAAACACAGTGGAGCACTTTACTGTATTACCATATGACATCACAAGGTGGAGTCGAGTGTTTTCTGTTTGAGAGAAGAACATGTGTGGATGAAACAAAACACATCTCCAGTTGTGTATTTTTGATGAGGAAACAACATTATAACATAGATCAGAAAATAATATAATATAGGCCCTTTAAAGGTACTTTGTAGATTTGCAAAATACTACAGCAAGTGTAGAATTATTAACCTATGGAATTGCTAACTCTGCATTAACCCAAAGAACTCTTAATGTACAATACCGTAACATCTGATTAAAGTAATATTTGAATTTGTTAGGCCTGTTTTTGCCAGACGCCCTTCCCAGTGAAACCTATCAAGCAAGGAGTGGCAAGTGACTAAAGAACAACACTACACTTTTCTGTACTCAAACATTAATCATTAGAAGTGTAATTAAAGGCATATCCCTCTTTCTAATTGTATTGTCTGCACTGAACAAACCCCTTGTGTAAGAGTAATAAAAAGTTAAGGAGCTGAGGACAAGGTTTGATTAAGCCTGGGTTACTGATAAGCCAGTCCTAATATCCTGCCTCTGTCTCTCTGCTGGGGCTGGACATGTCCCCCACAGATTGGCCGGTGTGTATTTCAGACACACAGGCTCTGGATTGTGTGCTGCATGCATGTGGTGCTTAAAGGAGTCAGTCTGAGATATGAATCTGAGGAGATGACAGGAGGTGGCGCTATGAAGACAAACATAGATAAACCATTTTGATGGACCATCCAAGTTCTATGGGATGCCAAGAGAATAGTAAGCTACTTTGGTGTTACTGCTGACCCCTCTGTTATAATGTTTCCTCCTCACAAACATACCTGGAGTTGTGTTTTGTTTCATTCACACCTGTTTAACACACAAACCTTGTATATTTATGCTTACTTTTCGCAAATGGAAAGCACTGTTCCACCTTGTGATGTCATGTGGTAATACCGGAAGTGGTCCACGGTGTTTTTAAACTCCATACATCTTTATTTGGATCATTTCAGTCCTAGAATTGCCAATTTCTACTGAACAAAAGGTAATATGTAGCTGTTAACTTGAAAACTACTGCTTCAAGACATCACACGGTAGAACAGAGCATTTTGAGCTTTGGGGATGTAAACAGACTGATAATACTCAAACATGTGTAAATGAAACAAAACACAACTCCAGTTATGTTTTTGAGGAGCTAAGTAAGTATAATGTGGCTTAAAGCTCACAAGCACAATTTTGTGTAATATAGGACTTTAAATGTCATAATTGCATGTGCCAAACCACCTTGAGAATGCACAATCTTGTCTCATCTGGAAAGAAGATTTAAGCCCGGTTAGTAGTTGGACGGGAGACCACTGCAACTGTCTGGGAGCAGCAGTGGCTCTAGCACATGCTGCTGTTGTGTCCTTATGCAAGACCCTTCACTTCTAGCCATGCATACATTTGATGGGTCACTGCTGGTAGAAAGTAACACTATAACTAACTAAATTAATTAAAAGCAGTACTGCATTGAATACTGCTTTTCTGTACTATAAAAATGTATCGTTATTTCAAAACACGAATTAACACAGTATTCATGAAAATGTGACAATGTGTCACTTTTTTTTTATACCTATGTGATTAATCTCTAGGCTATAATTTACGTAGAAAATGTGTATGATCTTAAAATACCATTGAAAAAAGTACCACCTGGCACCTGCACACACTGAGATTAGGCCTGCAGTTGGTACTACAGACATGTACTGGAATTGGCAGCTTCTTCACAAGAATTCCCCCCCTCCCACCCAATTCTGTCTGCACCACAGCCAGGTCCAAGCAACAACACATAGCCCCCCCCCCCAAAGATGACAACAGGCAGAGCAACCACTATATATAGACTATTAAACAGTGGTTCCAACCAAATAACTGTCTCTTGTGTGTGGATCATGTGGCTAAAATTTAACCATCCTTCAATGAGAAGTGAAATGAGGCCAAAGACATATCCCTCTCAGCCTATCATTAAAGAGGAGTGGCAAGTGTTGGACCAACTTCATACAACATTCTGACGTCTCTCCAGGTCTCATTTTACCACTCATCACAAACAAGTAAAACATATCAATACAGATTAGGCTACCCATCACAAAACCGAAGCTAGGCCTGCTTTTCAATCTTTTCAACCTTTCTGTCAAATCTCATTCAACGTCATTCAAACGTTTGACGATTACTATAGCCATAAACGTGAGCCATCTGTCCGGGGGGGTCAGTAGGTCTGAGAGGTGGTCTGAGGTGGACCCAAACATGACATAATGACAAGTTCACTCCAGTAAACCAAACAAATTACCGCCTGTCAGACAGAATCTGTTTACGTCGGATGCTTTGTTTGAAGAATAAATTAATCTCTACAGACTGCCAATCTGCGCTGGTTCAACATTTAGGTGATAACAGTAATCCAGGGTGGCCCTGACCTCACAGCATATCCTGTGGTTTAAGATCCAAATTAGTAGCCTACGGTGCCAAATGTTTTGAAGCAATACTACGCACTGCAGAATCCACAAACTTCAACAAAAATCCTCTTACCATGTGCTATCCAGTATCCTTTGGTAGGCAATAATTTGCTATATTGACAAGGTCAGCAGGACCCCTCTCCTCGATGTGTCGGTGCTGCCCGGACCCGAGGAACTGTGCTAAGTGTGCGGGAAAGAGGCGGCGAGCAGCGACCCCACCTCCCGCCGGGCCCACCTCGGCATATACATACCTGCCGCCTGCCCGCCCTGGAACAACCCACTCCGCGTGAGACGCGCTCCTTTAATCAACACTTTGGCTTTTATGATAATGTTAGAGTAAGATGCTTGTACAGGAAGATTAAGACGTTCTAACGTACAACGTCTGACACACATTAAAATAGTAAACCACACATTTCATTTAAATTTTTTTTTAATGAAAAGTCGTGAACATGTGTCAAACAAATGAAGCTGGGTCATACCGCTGTAACCGATGATATGACTTAACAGAGAAGTAGGCTAATGCGTGTGCGCAAGAGACTTAAAGTAGGCCTACATGAAGAACTCGCAGCTCAATTATGTAACAGACCAACTTATCAAGCGTAACATTCATTAAACAGGCATTCACAGTTAAACAGAGCCCAATATAAAATGTGACTAAAATGTTGATGATAAAATTAAAAAAGGAACAAATTAAAATCACATGGTTCAAGCATTTAGGCTACTGTAAAAAGGAACTATTCTTAAGCAGATAAGTTAAAATAAACAACACTATTTTGTATCCGCAATCAGTTTCTTGATGAGGGAAAGCTGCACTTGCATGATCTGTTCCAGTTGATCCATCTGTAAAGAGCTTAGGAGGTTTAAATGATCCCAATATGAACATTTTCAATCATTTTGTAAATTAACAGAGCACAAAACTTACCTTATTCTTCAAACTCTGACAGCAGCAACTGGAAGCTAATGCATCTAAATGACAACATTTTCAGTCACTGAATATTCAGCACAATCACAGAAATAAACAATGTTTATTAAACACTTGCCTCGAGTCTTTGGGTCAGTTGTGCAGGGTGGTTCCATGTGTCTGAGAATTCTCTGAACTGGATTCTCTGTAAAGATTGATTATAGAGAATATAGAGTCAAAAGCACAGTATAATGTGAGATGACAGAACCAGAATATAAAACTAACCATGTACTGCCTCTGTGCTTGTGCCCAGAGGTGCTGGTGGCAGAGGCAGCTGGATCTCCTGGGTGGTAGTTCTGCTTTCACATTTGTTGGTTTCGGGGGGCACACTGAGCTCTGGACCTTTCTCAGTTCTATCATCAGCGTTGGACACACTGCTGGCAAGTGTAGTATTGGGGACTGGAGCAGTTGTGTTCTTTGAATGTGCCTGTAGAGCATCTAAAATCATGGCCTCCACGAGCCCACCTCCACTCTCAGTGGGCAGGGACAGAGAGAGCACATTAGAATCACCATCAAATGACTGGACTGTGGCAAGGACACCCTGCTGTAAAACAGTCAGAAACATCTGCAGCACATCCTCTGACCACTCCACCGGGAAATTAGCTTTACCTGCAACATACAAAATAACAGTTTGATTATTAAGGAAGTTCAAGTCTTGTATAATCAGGACATCTTACCAACAAGACTGCATCGAGTGACTTGAAAAGGTAGCTGGAGGAAACTGGCTGGGATGGGCAAAATATCTGACAGTGACACCTTCTCAGAGTTCCCATAGTCTGCATAGATGACACTCGCCTCTTGATCACAGACCTCCAGAACCACTGCACGGTACCAGTTATTATCATCTGAAAAATATGTCTACATTAATTCATACAACATATTACTGAATCCACATGTAAGCCGTAAGCATTAGCAGGATTTCATTTAAAACCTTTTTAAAACTTTTTCCTAAAATGTCCATTAAAAAGACCATGCTGTTAGCTGGGCTATGGAATGTATGCCTGGCCATTCTCCTGCTCAAATGCTGTATTTAAGAAGAGCCGCTCCTTCGCTCCACTTCTCATACGCTGTGTAATTACATCCACGAGCAGACACCAAATTACCAGCTTAGATGTGCACAGGCAGCAGCCAACAAGACAAGTCATAGAAGAAAACATAAAACTAGTTTGAAGAATGGGAAATAAGACTGTGTGTGTGTCGTACAAGAGCAGCTAGGTGCAGAGCTTCCCTGTAATTTTAACACAATAAGCAGGAATGACAGGTCTTATGTGTGAGGGATTCCCCCGCCACAAAGGCCAAATAAAACTGTATCTAATGTCGTCAAACTACTGAGTTAAATGCTAGATAACAAATATAATGGCAGTTTTTACAAAGAGTCCAGATGTATCTGTCACACATATGATGTAGACAGAAGGCAGATTGTGTTTTTCAGCATTTGATGGATTTGTTTGGTTCAAGTTTTACCATATAGTCTTTACTACAAGTTTCTCGCATTTGGATCATATTTTAATGTATATACATGCTATTAGACTCTAACACCAGTTAGATGATATGGCATGCATGTTTCTATTTACCAGAGAAGCGGGCACAGCATGCAGCTCCAGTAGCAGGTTTGCCTGTAACAGATGGCTGAGAAACCTGACTGTTGCAGTGTTGAGCCAACTGAAGCATCATTTCTTGAAGCTGCTCCTCACCAACTAGCAACATAAACAGTTGAGTTTAGTGTTTACATTTATAATACAGTACAACAAAGGAAAACGGTCAAACGTAAGTTATGGACCTTGTCTACGGCCGAATAGATAGAAAAGAGATGGGTTGGATACAGCAGCAATACAAGGCTGAAAGGTCTGATTGACTGGCAGCACTATGGTTTTCCAGTCCACAGGAAATGATGTCTCTGCAGGACAATACATTGTTCATCCCTTAACATCATCTGACAAGATTATGCAAAGTGCAACCCACCTTCAACCTGAGATGGAGAAGCATCTGGTATCCGCTCTGGAGCAGCTTTGCTAGGCACTTGCTCTTGCCTGTTCTCCAAAGCGCTTTCATTCTGTATGTCTGAAGTCAAAGCAGCCTCTTGCTTCCCTTTCTCCCCAGAAAATTTGGCCAAAAGCTCTGAGATTAGGGTGGCAGCCACACTTCGGCCTTTGCTCTGCAGCTCAACACCATAACCATCTTCAGTGACAGAGAGCACACGTGCTGGGAGAGCCTCACCCTGAACCTGAGTCTGGAACCACAGGAGGGCTTCACTGGTCCACTCTGAGCCCCAGGGCTCCACACCTGAATACATACAAACATAGTTACTTCAGCAACAAATGTCATGGTTATTGCAAAAGGAAGAGGTCAAATAAAACTTTTTCAGTTTTTATGTTGAGTTAGCAATAAAGTAATTTACCACAATGTCATGCTGAAAGGTGTACTATTGCAATAAAAAGGTAGACATTTAATATAGTTATCTTAAAAACTGTTTAAAAAAAAATTGTAAATAACATGTAGTATTTCATTGACACTTTACACCACTAACAGCACAAGACATGGTACCTGCAAGCCAGCAGGGTACTGCCAAGAAGGGTAGTGTCAGGAATTTGGCTGTAATAGGTCTTAGATCGCTCTTCTTCACACTGATACAATAACCGTAATCTACAAGTACAACCATAACTTTGTCCTCAAACAACTGCTTCACCAGAGCCCGAAACCACTTGTCATTATCTGAAAAAACAAGTAATTTAACATGAAAGTACAGAGTAATTTAATTCAGACAAATTCAGTTGTGAAAATTTCATGACAGAATTTGATACTTGGCTTAGAGACTCACCAGGTAAAATGGCACAGCAAGGCTCTCCCAATTTTGGATCAAAGTTTGAAGACTCTGCCTCACAATAAGGCTTCAACTCTGCTTCTAGTGTCTTTAAAAGCTCACTGTCTGGGATGTAAAACATTTTCACATTCTTTAATTTTATGACTGTAAAATGTTTTTGTTTCATTTACAAAAAAAAGTAAATAAAACTAACTAAACTAAATAAAAAGTATAATAGAATGGCCACCTTTAGGATTGTCAATGTGGCAGAAGAATTTGCTAGGGCTCTCCACCCAAAGGACTTGCAGTGTCACTGTTTGGCCTTCAGGGGGAAGTTCAGTACAAGTCCACACCAGAGGTTCTGGAGCCGAGCTACACTCTTATGAACACAGCATTTGTGTGTCAAAAAGCCATTTTTGAAGACCAAAATTCAAATGCAATTAATGATCTATTCCTGTATTTACCAGGCACTTCTTGAGTAGGAAGTGATGCCTCTGTTAGCTGATCAGTGTCGCCGTTAACTACAGCAGGTGCTGCAAAACCAGCCGCAATCAGCAACTCTGCTATGTTAGCCTGTGGATCGCTGGTCTCATCAATAATTGTCACCAAAGCTTTGCCTTCGTGAGGACCCTGGATTTCAATGCGCAGAATGCGGTTTGAGACTCTTCTCTGCAGAGCAAGTAAGCACTCTTCTGACCAGTTCTCTCCAACTGGCTGTACACCTTTTGAAGACACAAAATATTTGACATGACAGAACTGAGAAGCTTCTAACATTAATAATACTGCATACCCGCTAAACCACAAGTCATAGCCTGCATTGGTGTATCCAGTAGAAACCGAGCAATCGGGCGCAAATTGTTTAAATTTACATCTTCTGAGTTGCCGAAATCCAGGTACCCAACACAGACAAGTTCTTCTGATGAATAGGCAAGTATTTTAGCCCGGTACCACTGCTTGTCCTCTAAAAACACAGATATAGCTTCTGAATGAGTGTGATTTATCAAATTAATATACAAGCAATTGTAGAATAACTATAGTACCGGAGAATAGGGCACAGCAAACTGTTCCAGGAGCTGGTCTGAAATTACTTGACACAGGCATTTGGCTACAGTGCTCTCTTAGCTTCATTTGTAAATCCTGTACAACTCCTTTGAACACAATAACGAGAGTTATTTCAAAATTATCACATCACATAGAATATATAAATAACTTACCAGCATTATCTACTTTCTGTACAACTATTTTTTCAGGTGATTGAAAGTGGGTGACAACAACCAAGAAGGAGTCACCCACTGCCTGCGTAAGGGGCTCTGGGACCTGAGCCCACAAGTTGTCATCTTTGCCATTTAAGTTACATTTAAAATTTTCCATAGATGCGCTTACCATGGCAGCTTAAGAGTAAAATAAATAAAGGAACACATTTACACATGAGCAAAGAATGTTCAGTGTTGTAACTACTTAATGAAGAACAAATACTACATGTTTTGTTAGTACTTATGTCTTGTTCTCTTGGTGTTTTGTTGATTTCTTCCTTTATGGCATATTCATGCTCCAAAAGAAAGGAGCTCAAAGTATTTCCTGAAAAAGTCAAAATTATTTTTTCAGTAAAAAACAATAGAAGCAAAAACAAAACAATCACAAAAATCAAAATTGAGCAAACCCATACCCCTAGAAAGCACTATGTCTACTGCATGGACATGGCCTTTGTCCACTGAGTCCAACATCTTCACAGTGAGAGTCTTTCCTTCCAACAGCTGTCTTACGGCTATACAACATTTGCCTGACCAAGCATCAGCAGCTGGCACCACTTCAGCAATACAGCACTCAATTGCCTAAACAATCAGTAAAACAAAAAACATTGTGCAATATGGATCAGATTAGCTGTACAAACTGCTATGAAACACTGCAGACTTACACAAGGACCAAACTGCTGCAGCTTAGCAGTCAGAGGCTTAATTCGTTCAAAAGGGACTTTTTCCTCATTGCCAAAGTCAATATAAAGGACATGAGCAGTGTTCTGGTCAGCAGCCAAGTTTTGGACAAGTCCTCGATACCAGTTCTGAACAGAAGAATGTGATAGGTAATAACAAGGAATTCATTTGTGTGTTGTTGTACATGTATGAAATAACTTACCATATCACAGGAGTACTGCACAGCACACACCTCATCCACAACAGGTGTGTGTGCAGTCGCAGTTGGAATGCTGTAGGTTTTCTGGAGCTCTATGCTTATCATTTGAAGAGCCTCAAGAGTCTCATTGCTTTGGGCAATAATGAAGAAGCGGCTAGGGCTATGAAACTCAACAACCACTGCCTACAACACAACCACAATGACAATGGTACTTGATAAATTTTCCAGTTGTAATCTGTAAATCTTCTACCTGGATTTCTGTTCCTTTGATAACTTTTGAATGTAAATCCTTCATATAGACTCTCTGGATGCCGGCTGTGTCAGTATGCTGAGTGTGTAATAGAAATTTGGAAGATGATAGATTAGACACATAATAACATTAACATTAACTTTCAAAAAACATACATTTGGATCACCAGGTTTGTCACCTGAGGCTGGTGAGACACTATTGTTGAGGGTTTTGTCTCTGTAAATGAAGTGGTATTTTGATTTAATACAAAAGACTTTACAATTCTCTCCTAACCTGAAAAATAATAATCACTTTGTCAGTTCAGCTTCAATGCCCTTGCAAATGTGTTTATGTGAGTTCCAGTCCTGCGTCAGACAAACAGCTGAGCAATAGGCAGTCGTCTTACATCGCTTACAGTGGGAATTTCCTGTCAGTGAATATGCAAAGGTTTAATTTAATTCATTATTTACAATGTCCATATATGAAAATAAGCCATATGCACCTTGTTGTCCACAGAAGTTGCAGAAATACACAGTCATTGTTGGGGTTGTGTGGGCAATCTATAAAAGAAATTTAGAAAAAGAAAAAAAAAAAAAAAACGAGGTAAAAATCTAAACTAGTCTTTTATTTTAACAACCAAAACAAGCGTTCAAAGAATACTTACAGCAATCTCATCTCTACTGTCAGGTGGATTCATAAGGCTACCCGGTGATGGGAAAATATCTGTAAAGATTATGAGTAATCATGTTTTTAATAAAAAGTACTTTATGGTGATAATTGTAAAGTCTTACCTGGTACATTGCTGATTAAGGCCGGGCGTACAGGTGTAGGGAGCAGCGCGCTCCGTCCTGAAGATGGCGACGCAGCACGTGGAACCGCTGGGCCGGTGGAAGGTCTCCTCAGAGGCAAGTTCGGCCGAACCAAGTTTGAAGGGAAAGCGAGATTCATGATCGCAATAGCGGCAGTTACGATGTCCGATGCTAAAAATGTAACAAAATATAATAATAGTAACATTTTTAAAAATTGCAACTAAATCTAAGGGGGGATACGTTGAAACGGTTTGCCAACACAGCTAGCTAATAACTGCAACACTTATGCTAATTAATGAAAAGAATAACATTTCACACTCAAACTTACTTATTTATACGGATAAATATATATATATATATATATATATATATATACCATCGTATATCATAATTACTAGTAATACTATACTTACCATAAGACCTATTTTACCTTGAAGCACGTGTTGTTGATCGTATTAGATGTGTAGCGCATGCGCAGCAAGGTACAGGTACCGTAGAGGCGTCCGAAAACATAAAAGCCCTGTGTTGTGCATTTATACACTTATCAAATTTCAGAGAATTGCTTTCCTTGGATTTTTAATTTATTTTTATTTTTTTTACTCAATTTGGGCCATATGTTAATAATTTACTATATTTAAAGGTGCACTGAGTCACTTTTCTGATGAAGGGTCCACAACCTACTTGTCTCCATAGAGATGTCATTGTTTTGCCTGTAATGTTCCATGATATGACTTTAAACATTTCCATCTATCATTCCATCTATTGAGAGGGGTGACTCTCCACAGATCTGAGTAATGTACCGATCAATGTCTCCATGGAGACAAGTAGATGGCAGACCCTCCTCTAGAAATGGTGAGCAGTGCACCTTTAAGTAGAAAACACTCTGAAGTGTAAATAATATAAATGATCAAATTGTGGTCTCGCTTTTTCTTTTTCTTTTTTATTTTCTTTTTTTATTATTATTATTTTTTTTTATTTCAAATAGACAGCAGTGTAAACAATAACATTGCTAGAAGCATAAAAATTTATATTCACAGGGCTCAGCATGTGCAATATCTGCATTATGCATTATACAAATGTAGAAAAATGAATATATTTAATACAGTTACATTTTATATTTCAAATTCTAAACATAGTGCTTGTGATTGTGATCCATAGGTCGTGATCTCTCTCGTACTCGTACTTGTTTTGATGACGCTCACCACGTGACCTCTTGCTCGTCTGTGATTGGTTAGTATTAAAATGTTTCGCAGTGGCCATATTTGTTGATGTGTCATATCCTTATATCAAAGTGACTGGTTGGGACTATCATCTGGCTTTCGGGATCAAAGTTCACTGTAGCTTCTGTTGACTCTGCATTGAACCATTCATGAATTATATAAATTTGGTGAGTATAATTTCGACCGTCACAGAAATATAGTCCATCGATAACAGATGCTACTGCTAGGCTAAGGAGTAGCGTACTCGCTAGCTTCACTCGCTAATATAACAGCATTCCAAGAAAAATACAAGGGATTAAGCTGTAAAAATTATTGATGTAACGTTGTTGTATGTATCCTATGTATTGCACTTTCGATCATTGTGTTTATGTCGTTGTAAGTCTTGGCATACTTTGTCAAAGGCAGCATTTTCCTTAAAGATTAGTTAACGCCGAAATGATTCCTAGTGTTAATGAATTACCCGTTCGCACTGCCACCCTTCTTTTAAACGAATTAATTCGTATTTTTACTCTTTATTAGAATATCTTCGTGCCTAATACAAGCTTCAGTATGACTATACACCTGTCACCCTCATGATTTTTGCAATCAGGGAGGGGACAGACATGTTGCTTCTCGGTTGGTGACTGTATACAGTCTATGGTTGGTACCATATTATGTTAAAAGACTTAATATATAAATATCAGCGTGACAAGAATACTTATACAGTTGTGTCAATATTCTTCAATATTTTTGACCATGATGTATTGGTTTCACAAATGCATTTCTTAATACATTGTAATAGTACAGATGAGTACCATAAACCATGATCAACAATATCTGCATAATAACCAGATTTTTTCAGGGAGCTTTGATATGAGCGCCAAATACATAAGTAGAAATAAGATCATTTCAAATGATTTGTTATAACTGTATTACTAGCCCACACACGAGCAATTACGATATTTCAAGGTACCACACCTCTCATTGTACCTAGCAATATAGTCTGTTCATGGCATTTGTGAACCCTTATCCTCAAGACGGTTTTCTATTATGACTTTTCCTAAAATGTGAAATATTAGCCCTTCCACAACATCTATCCATAAAGCCAGACTTTAAATTAACTTAATGTTAAACCATATATTTTTTCTTTTTTCCCCAGAATTGAGGAGTGGGTGGTCCCATGGAGGAGCCTGGTCAGCCTCCCTTCAGTCTACATAAGATGGATGTATCAGAGGCTGAAGCAGTTTGTGACGAGGGCCCACACAACAGCACAGCAAATGCTAACAATGAGGAGCATCCTAATCGGACAAGTGAAGTTGAACAGTATAATCAAATTAAAGATGAAGGAAATGCTGGAATTAATAAGACAGTCACAGACATATTAATTGCAAATACAAAGGAATCACTCTCTGTATCTTTAGAGCAGAATCAGGAACTTGGTTTTGTTCCTGGTGCAGTTAACCAAACAAGTACATCTTTTACGGACAGTGATAGATCTTTCAATGAAAACAATGCTGCTTTGATTTCTCCAATAGCAAATGTTGAAGAAACTCCCTCCTCTGTTTTTGAACACACTAATGAAACCTTATTGACTGATAATATCTGTGATTCCCCCATCATTACCCCAGACAGCCCAGAAAAGCAGTTAGTCACGGTTGACACGTCTGGTGTTGAGAACCAAGAATCAGGTGACTGTCTTTCATCTTCTCAACAAAGCCCTTCTAACAACTCACCTAGTGACTTGACAACATCTACAATCTCTAATGGCTCATCTACTCCCAACTCAGGATACTATTGGTTCCTCTCCTCCAACAAGTCCTCATATCAGTGCCACAACTCCAGCTCCTAACATTTTATCAAGCCCATATGACACAGACTGCAGCAGAAACCTGATTTCCCAGATTCAGAATTCACTTTCACAAGAGTCACTGTTGGAAGAGCTAGAGTCCGAGCTGTTATCATGTCAAAAATCTGAAAATGAACGTTCCAATGGCATGAAGGAAAGTTCTCCTGTTAATGGACTATCTCCAAATCAAGAGGACTGCATGGTTGTCTTTGAGAAGTGTGTGCAGTACAAGTATGCACAACAGGAAAAGGCCATTCAGAGGTAAATCAACATTATATGAGAAGTAAAATATATTAGGATTTGCAAGTGTTAATCTTTCATGTGTGACAGCTATTATATTATTGATTACTTTTCTGCCAACTTTATTTTAAGGTGGTCTGCTTAAGCTGGCCAGAAACAATAAGCTTATTCAGAAAAAAACAATGAAATCTGTAACTGCCAAACTTCTAGCAATCCCTGGACATGTGAAATGAACTGAACACTGTGTTGTGTGTCTCTTAAATCCTTAGGTTGTTAGAGGAGAACAAGCGGCACCAGGAGCTGATCTTGGGCATCTGTGCGGAAAAGGACACCATGAGAGACGAGCTGAAAAAACGGTCTGAGACAGAGAAACTACATCTAACTACTATTAACAAGGTAAAAACATGTTCCTCTTCAAGAAGAAAAATATAATCTTAATAGTTCTAATATTGTTTAGGGAGGGGTAAAAGAAATTAGTTGGTCTCGTCTCAGTAGTATACCAATTACAATATAATGACAAAGAATTTAAAAAGCGGTAATAAAATTCCAAATAATGAGGTACAAAAATGCAGATATGTACAAGTACAATAACATTGCAATTGTGCTTTCTGTGTGCTGACTAGACATAAATGTGAGGGCTAAAAAATTTTATCTCTTAAACTGCTCTCTCCAGCTCCTCAAGATGTTATCATTTTTGTATAATTTGTATTGACTGAGAGCATATAGTGTATGGAGCAACACCAGGCACATAGTGAAACTTAATTAAATCTGGAAACCACACTGTTTGCCTCAGCTAATCAGTGTCTTTACAAAGCTAAAACATGACGCGATGAAAAGGACAATAGAACCTGATAAGTGACATTTCATTTTATACGTGCATATCAAAGACTATTTTACCCAAATGTTAAAATCCTATCTGATGACTCCTTCTGCCCTACCCTTTTAGCTTCAAAAGACCATTCTTGCTCTTTTCATTTGCATTGGTGTGTCATCCCTGTTGCTATGGGCTACAGAGTAATTAGTTTAGGCTAATGCCACCGTTGCCCACTAAGCCTGAGTAGCAGGTTTGTTTTAGAGAATACAATACAGAAGTGATGACAGTGATATCTACTCCATTGGTTGTTGACCTCCCGATTTACAATGACTCAATTGATCATTGAGCTTTAGTCATTTCTACTTGTCAATGATTAATTAATTGTACAGCCCTAGTTCTTTGCATTTTTGCCAAATTATTTTTCTACCAAGTTTCAAGGGCAGTTGTTGCATAATAAGCAGGCGTGGTCAAGGCTGAAATGTTACCCGACAAGTTGCTCATCATGTCTGCTCTGTGTCTGTCTGCAGTTGGAGGGACGGGTGGAGGAGCTGCTGAGAGAGCTGAAGGGGTCAAAAGACAAACTCACACACCAGGAAAATGCCTCCAGAGCTTCAATTCAGCAAATACAGAAGGAGATGGCCTACAGAGTGGACCAGGTACAAGTCAGACCTCACTACTCAATGCTCACAGTCACATAAGCTCACATAAGCGGCTTATGCTGTATAACAGGGGTGTCCAAACTATGTCCTGGAGGCCAAATTTGTTGGCCCTAAGCCTTGCTGCTGAATTGGCCCAAATTCCCAATTGCCCTACTTCAAATATTGAAAAATTCAGCTATAATTTCATAAATAGCTAATATTTTGATGTGATACAGAAGAAAAAAAATGATGTTTGAAGCCTGATGTGAAGGTATGGTGGCTCAGTCAAACCTATATCAAATGCAACATTTTTTTTGTAGTCTGTGGCTCTTTGCATTGTATAAGTTTCAACATGCAGCCACTGGTGAAGTCACCCCTGCTATATAACATGGTTTGATTTAGATTCACCCAGCATTTTCTCTAGAATTCAATTCATTTCGTACATTTTGAATCGCTAATTTTTGTTTAAAAAAAGATTTAGCCTGAAGCTTATACTTGCATTGCGTTTTGCATGACCAACCCTTATGCATATTTCCTTCAAATAGAAGTGTGCACTCAAGGTCTCTGTGCACCAAACTGTTGTTATTGCAGATGTAATCACATGGTAAATGAATATGGCAGACAAACACATTTTTCCACACATAGTTTCCTCACAGGCTCACAGGCTAAAGCATATTGTCTACTTTTGCTCTTGACAGTTTTGTTACACCTCACATTTTTTAATTTCACCGTTCAGTGAACAAAAGTTTGTGGACTTTGTGTCACTGTAAGCCCTTCTTTGCACTCCTTGGTACAAAGCTGTTGTGCCTGATTGACATTTTTTTTAGTGGTTCTTGTGTTGAATTACATGTTGTGATTTGCTGTACTGATTCAGATTTACACTGCATGTATAAAAGTCCAACATTGGAGGCATTTAACAAAAAGAACTGTGATGCTCTTGAAAAAATAATTACAGAATCCAACAGAATTGGTTTGTTTTGTTAGTAATCGAACAGTTCTTACAAGAATTCACTAGCCATTATTCAGTATATATGTTCTAAAAAAGTAAAAATTCATTATGTTGTAAAATTTTGCAACATCATCTGCTTATATGTATGCGTGAAAAAAAAAAAAATTAAATAATTTTGTATTGTCTTCAGATGAATAAGAAGTGCGATGAAGCACGTCAGGAAAAGGAAGCAATGGTGATGAAGTATGTCCGTGGGGAGAAGGAGGCCCTGGACCTGAGACGGGACAAAGAGAGTCTGGAGAAGAAACTGAGAGAGGCCACTAAAGAGGTGGATAGACAAGCGCTCAGAGGGAACCAGCTCGCACAGGACAAGGGACGGCTGCAGCAGATGTACGAGGCCAAGGTATGTGATATAGCGACTAATCTATCAGTCCCAGTATTGGTATTGGCTGATAACAATATTTTTTCCTCTGTGTATCTATGTGTCATTCCCGTATACTAAGTGCTGAGTCAGATTCAGTGGAAAAGAGGAAATGATCAAGTGTGGTGGCTGGCATTTAGAGTATTATTGTTGTACATCATATCACATAGTGTTTTTTTGTAGGATTTAATTTTGTATGCAAATTACCACTGTGGTCAAAAGAGAGCATGAACACCTCCTCTGCTCAAGATTAAATGTGAACACTAAACAAGACCAGAGAGTATGGACTGGACATGATAAACCAGCCATATATACGCCCACTGCACTGATCTTGTTCTCCAATTTTATTTTCTTCATCAGAGATATACATATGGTTTGACAGCGTTGCACAGTAATTTTGGTACAAATGAAAAAAAAATCTACTGCTCATGATGTGTAGCTATCTGTCGGAGGTGCAGACAACTCCACGGCTCATGGTTGTGATGGTGTTTACGTCCGCTCCCATGGGGCACTGTAGTTTTCTGGAAGTGGAAATCAGTGGACTTGTTTATTTTATGATCTGCGTGTCATAGATTGTAGCTATATAGCAGACACAAACACAATAGGTCTTCTTTAAAATGCAACTTCACCCTAATCATCAAATGTCTGAAATTACATCAAACAATAGATCAGAATACCAGGAGCCATTTTTATTCATATTTAAAGTTTACAAATTAGCATAACAAAATATTAAGTACTAGTACACTATGATTTTAATTGTTGCTTGTACACAACAAATGCATTGTTCCAATATTCCGGTCCACTGAATGTTACAGATGTATTTATTTTTGTACCCGTTGTGTTTAGGAAGGGGAGGTGTCTAGACTTTCCCGGGAAGTGGAAAAATTAAAAGAAGAGATCAACTCCCATCTCATCAAAGTCAAATGGGCACAGAATAAACTGAAGAGTGAAGCTGATGCACACAAGGTAATTGAAAATACACTCCCTCAATTATTTACTAATGGTACCTCTGTAAACAAGCCTTTGAGACATGGCTGTAAAATGCATGTTGTTGCTGTATAGAGATGGTCTGTTTGCTGCCACTTATGATTAGCTGTCTTGTAATTTAGTTCTAAAGAAACCGTAGGCACAAATGGTTACAATAATTTAGCTGCAAAGCAATAAACATTAAGAACGCTTCTATTTCTGTACATAACAAATCATGCTTTTATTTTTAACTGCCTTCTCACAAATGCAGGTTGCTGAAGGACACTTGTTCTGTGCCATTTTGATTTATGTGCACTGCTTTTCAAAGGGCATAATAATGTTTGCATCTTTGTGCAGGAAACAAAAGACAAACTGAGAGAGACCACGTCTAAACTGGCTCAGGCAAAAGAGGAGACAGAACAGATTCGTAAAAACTGCCAGGACATGATCCGAACATACCAGGTTTGTGGCAGTTATCACATGTACACATCACTGCTCTGTGTGCTTAACCATCTCAGTGCCAAATACTGCATAATATTATATACTTTGTTTGACCTTTTCATGTTATTTTTGAGTCATATTTATTGTAATGTGGAAAAAAGAAAAAAACTCTCTCACTAGGGTGGTGTCACAACATATTGTCAGAATAAAACTGTCATAAGATTATGTACACAAGAGAAAAATTTTGTTCCGATGGACAGAAAAAGAGTTACGCACTGCCTAGTTACACCTGCTATATTTCTAAAAAAAAAAAACAGTGCTACAATGCCTACAAAACTGAACTAGATTGGACTACGTATTACAAAGTATATAAACATTTTGTTCTCCTTGACCCAATCTTGTTTCTCGTCTCATCTTGTGGAAATCGTGTCTTGTCCCAACCCTACTATTCACTAATGGGGAGCAGTTTTCCTTTGCACCTTTTGATGGTGGTAAAGAGCTTTCTTTAATCTCACTCAGTACTAGGCAACACTGGTTTTAGAAGCCACCTCACCAGCCTACTTGCCAAGCGTTGACCCGATTTTCCAATTGCTTATTATTACAGCCGTTTTTCGCTCTGAACTATATTTGATAATACATCCAGCTTATTATGATTTTAGTTGCAAGTAGTTATTTTTTCTGTTATAGTTCAGTTCATATTACACATCCTATACCAGAGGTACGTAAGCAAAAATACAAAAATCACATACATTTATGAACATGTTTGTGGAGAAATCATAATAAAACCCCAAAAGAGATGAGAGTCTTTGTCATTTGCTCATTGCTAATTGTTATTTAAATTATTATTTATTTTTATACAATTATTTATTTAATTTATTTATTGCAGGAGTCTGAGGAGATTAGATCCAATGAATTGGATGCTAAACTGAGGGAAACCAAAGGAGAGCTAGAAAAACACAGGCAAGAACAAACGGATCAATTAGAGGTAATATTTTACATTGTATTACATTATGTGTATGTAATTATTAGCACAATTTCTGTTTCATACATCTACGAAAAATAGGTGAATGTTCTGATAAATAATTATGCCAAATGTACATTGGACTCAATTTGACGTAATGGCCTGTTTTTCTCACACTGCCTCGTTCAGAAGGGAATCAAGGTGTCAAAAATAAACAAGCTATAAGTAATCAATATGAAGACGTGCTTTTCCACAACCCAGAAACCCATTTCCTTCCATGCCTGCCCAATTTGCTGTTTACAACCACCTTTTCTTGTACAAACCATTTATACAAGATTGCCGCTATTAACTGTAGACAATTTGTGAATGGTCTGTTGTGATTCAAACAAAATGACAGTTTTTATGACGTCCAATGTGCTCCAATTGCTAAAGCTGGAGCAAAAATGATTGTCCATTATCTAGGGTAGCCCTGCTGAGATTGTTTCAAAATGAGTTCATGTTTGTGTTTATTTTAGCCAGTATGACAAGCTGACTATAAATAATTCATAATTAAGTATAATTCTCTACTGGATTCTATTGCTGTTGTCAAAGTTAGTAAAAAGTATTAAAACATAAGTAAACATACAACCTAGATACTAGGTTGTACTCTTAGTGCATTCATTCATCATTTTATGTAGTTGTATTATTAATAATTTCCAATATTTTTGGATAATCTGAATAATGATATTCACAATATATTTTTAGCAATGCATCAGAAATGTGCTAAAATGTTCCTGTAAATGTCTTGGTTGTGGTTCAAGGATCAGACAAAACGTGAATGGAACATAAAAATACACTGTGTAAAAATACCACAGTGTACCTTTGGTTGAAGCATTATAGTAGACATTTCTGTTTAATTTACTTTCATTTTAAATAGTTTTTACTATAGTAGATAAACTTAATATTCAAATCTTCAAAACAACAGTTGCAAGAATATACATTTTTTGATCTATAGTATCTTCTGCCTCTATCTTCCAGCTCCATAAAGTGAAGGCAAAGGAGCTAGAAGATCTGAAGAAGAGTTACAAAGAATCCATGGATGAACTGGAAACACTACGGACCAAGGTAAATATCCTGGTCAAATGAATTACATTTAGATTGTTCAAATTAAAATGTAATGATTTTGTTGTATGTTTCTTCTTTAGTTAAAATGCCTAGAGGATGAGAGACCACGGTGGGAAGACGAGCTTAGCAAATACAGAGAAATCATCAACAGACAAAAGGCTGAGATCGGGCGGCAGAGGGACAAGTTGGAGGAGATCACCAAACTGGAGGAGCAGCATCTACGGTACGCGCTTATGTGATTAGACTGTATTCAGCAAGAGAGTGCACAGACAAAAATCAATAAAAAGCAAGAGTCGCCAGGACCAGCTTTTTTGGTGATCAAGTAGGGCACATGTACATTTGCCCAGTGGCTACAATCGGTCATTCAGGTTTGATTTCAGTGTACTGCTGTTACTGATTTCTTTCTGATGTAAAGGCTTAAAACATCATACAGCTTCTTAAAGGGCCTACAATTTTCTGATTCATGTGATAATGTTGTTTCCTCATCACAAACATACCTGGAGTTGTGTTTTGTTTCAGTCACACAATGTGTTTTGTTAACATACAAACCCTGCATATTTAGTCTGAGTTCTTCTCTCAAACAGAAAACACTCTGTTCTACCTTATGATGTCATGTGGTAATACAGGAAGTGCTCCAGTGTGTTTTTAAACTCCATACACCTTCACTAAAATCTTTTTTAGATGATTTTAGCCCTGGAATTGCCCATTTCTGCTGAACATATGGTAAAAGGTAGCTGTAAACTTGAAAACTGCCTCTACATGACATCACTAGGTGTAATGTGGAACATTTGTGAGTGAAACAAAAGACACAACTTCAGGTATGTTTTTGACAAGGTAGCAACATTCTAACAACATGACTTAAAGCTTATAAGAGTCCATTTTGTGTAATATAGGACCTTTAATAATAATTTGTGAGTGAATCAGCTTTACAATTGGCAACAATAATATTAACAATATTTGATCTTAACATAATTACTTTCTATCTGGGAACAAGGGCTAGCTAAATGTTCAACAAATGTTCACTCCTGCATCCTTTACTGATTTAAATGTAATTTCTCTCTGTGATGTATTCATGCTTTTAGTGTCCAGAATTTAATGCAGACCTTTTTCTTGGATTCAAAGATAGGCCAGTGACAGATATAGCACAGGGAGCAGTGAGGGAGGCGAGTCCCTTTGTGAGTGTGGGACTGGGCCAGCCGTTTGCACAAGGCTCCATGAAAGCTTTTTTCCACTTACTGAAATGCTTTCTATTTTCACCAGTGAAAAGAGAGTAGGTATTGACCTAAATTAATATATGCAAGAGGTCTTTATTTTTTACATCTTGGCGAACGATTTATGAAGTTTTCCACTGATCGCCACCAGGTTTTTGAGCTAGTTATTTTAAAGCTACATTTTAACCCAGATAAGACTTCACTATTCAAGACTAGTACTGTATTTAAAGGAACTGTATGTAGCCTGTGTTTTTACCATTTACCAAGAGATACCGCAGTCACTACTGAACCTGGGTTGTCAATGCCTTAATCTAGAAGTAGGTTACACACACACAGCAAGTTTTTTCTCACTCATGTTTGGCACTAACTGTTGGGGTTTAGGCAGTAAGGATTCAGATCAGAGAGAGTCCTTTTTAGGTTTTAATCAACTGGATTTCAGCATCAAAATGAGAGACTCATTAGAGGCTCAATCTGCTTTCTGATTGGATAATCATCATCTTGAGAACCAAAATACCAAATTATAGCATAAACAGCTTGGCCATCATATCCAATGTTTTGCAATTAAGAAATAATCAGCATTACAGTTGTTATCAGTAAAAGGTATACTTGATGTGAGCATGTTTACCTCTTATCTGGGATCTCTGGTTATTTTTCACTGACTCGTCGACTACTGAAAATATTATTAGTTAGCAGCCATTGTATAGATTGTCTGTGGGTTGATATGTCTAATATTAAGCTCAATGTCTCCATTCCTGTCCTTTATAGTAAACTATAACTTCTATGCTTACAGTGATCAGGAGGAGATTTCAGGGCTCCGAGAGGAAGTGGACAGTTTGACAAACCAACTGTCGGACCTGCAGCACGACGTGGCGGGGAGCAGGGAGCGTGAGGCTGAACTTCTGGGATTCACTGAGAAACTGAGCAGCAAAAACGCTCAGCTCCAGTCAGAAAGCAATACACTACAGGCCCAACTGGACACACTCACCTGCATGCATACACAGCTCCAGGGTCTGCAGGAGGAGACCAGCCGCCAACTTGAAGAGAAGGTAAGGATACAACAACAGAATGTACATGCAAGAATAAATGCAGAATGGTGAAAATGATCAGTGAAATTAGGACTACTGTTTATAGACACATAACACACATCTAAAATGTGTCAAATGTGAACAAAAGCAGCAGAGTTAAAGGTCCTATATTACGCAAAGTTGACTATTGTGAGCTTTAAGTCATGTTTTAATGGTGTTAGCTCAAAACTATACCCGGAGGGGTGTTTTGATTAATTCAAATATGTTTGAGTAACTCTTTATTATTAGTCTGTCTACATCTCCCAAGCTCAAAATGCTCTGTTCCACTTTGTGATGTCATAGTAGTAGTAGTAGTAGTAGTTTTCAAGTTAACAGCTACCTTTAGTTCAGCAGTGACTTGCAATTCCAAGGCTGAAAGTGTGTGGAGTTTAAAAACACAGGGCACATCACAAGGTGGAACAGCATTTCAGTCTGAGAGAAGAATTCAACCTATATATGCAGGGTTTGTGTGTTTAAACATGTGTAAATAAAATAAGACAACACAATGAGCATATTTTCTATGAGGAAACAACATTATTGCACAGATCAGTGAATAGCATAATACAGGCTGTTACAGCGTCACTCAGACCAGTTTGATAGGGCTGCAACTAACAACTGATTTTTAATTTAGCTGTTATTTTTTTGATTATTATTAGTAATTAGTTAAGCTGGTTAAAAGCCCTGAGAATGTGAGATTTTTACTAAATTAAACCCACATGGCATGTTTGGAGTTTGTGTATAGTCCAGAGAACAATTAGTTGATTACTAAATTAGTTGACAATTATCTTGGTAATCAAATAGCTGTGATTAATCAATTAACTTGTTTCCGGCCCACAGTTCAGCTTTTCCCCTCACACCAGCACACACTGCTTTTGTGAATTAATTCAATATTTTTTAGTACAGAATGTTGCCAGTCTGAATTTTTGTACGTTCTTTAGTATAAAAATGAATTTCCAATCAAATGAAAAAGTCACTTGAGTTAAAAAGGAGCTTTAAATTACCTTTATTGCCTTTCAGGAAATAGCGTTTGGTCCTCTCAGGCTAAATGTGAAGTGCAAGCATTGATAAACAGGTCGGACAGGAAAAGGGCCACATGCTGTTGCTATGAGAGCTTCAATTTACTGACAAATGTGTAATAATTGGTAACATGGCAACCTGGAAAATGATTAACATTTGTGTACTGTTTCCTGTCAAATTTTTCATTAAACTCTCAAATCTTAAAAGGGTCGTGACCTAGTATTGTCAAAATTCAAAAATTTTTAACTCAAATTCAGTAATAAGGAATAGACTCTATACTGATTTTGATAGACTGTGTTATTTTCAACACAAAATAGTCTTTAAGTTACCATGTGGACTTATATTATTTCTGATAAAGCTGATAGCAAGACCATTCTAAAAGTGTTCAGTGAAGGTCAAATTTAGTTCTGTTCTGTGTTTTTTTTCTTTTAATATCGATACTTATCAAATGAGTATTGATACTGATTACCGATATTTCGGACAACCCTGTCCTAAACAGTATTTCAAACTTTGATCTGTGTGTAAGAACGCCTTTGTTTTTCTCTCCTCTCTCCTGTTAAGTCTCGAGATCTGAAACAGGAGGAGGCTTTGAGACGACAGGAGGTACAGGGTCTGGAGCAGGAGAGGGCCACTCTGCAGACAGAAGTGTCCCAGCTCAAAACCCGAGTGGACGAGCTGAGAGACGAGCTCACGACTCAGAAAAGGAAACAAGCCGCCAACATCAAGGACCTGACAAAACAACTCACACAAGGTTAGTGGTTAGCACAGCACAACTACTGTTTATGTCACTTTTACAGTTTTCTCTCTATGCGGCAGACAACTGTGTCATTAGAGGCTTAATGCTGCCACATATGGGGATTCTGTGATTATGCAGCAGTGAGAGCCATTTGGCATCTCCTCATTGGGCTGTACCTCCTGTATTCAAGTCAATGAGTTCAACATTTTTGCCTCAATTCTGCACTGTGTATGGTGTAACTTTTCTGGTGGAGGGTCTGCTATCTACTACGACAATAAAAAACTATATTTTGCATTTATTCAATATGAGTTTTTAGTTCTCAAAACTACCACAAAATCATGCATTATTACAGTGAGCTACAGATCTGACCTGTAACTTGACCTGGTGATGTGGTTGCTTGTCTGCATCTAACATCTGCATCAAGTAAAGCAGGTGGTGGACCCTCAACCAGAAAAGTTACACAGTACAACAGTTAAATAGGCATAATAGTAGTACTGTAGATTCTGGCGTTATAAGATATGAAGTAATTTATTGTTTTTTCCATTTAATAATATGTTGATCACAGGCAGTTCTGTATTGTAATACAGTGTACTGTGTTCTTATAATGACACCAAAAAGGAAAAGATGAAATTTCTATTGGGCTTTTAGGACCTTCCATCACCACTAGGAAAGTTAGAAGTTGCTGATCAATCAAAAATCATGATTATTTTTGTCATGTTGCACCATCTATAACCAAATGTAATCATTTTAAAAGCAACAACAAATATTTCAATGTAATAGATACTCAAAGAATCTAAACTGTGTTTTAACTTGCTGTTTGTCACTAACTTGATTCTGAAAGTTTGACTCATAAAGCTGCTCAGAAAAGGATTATATGTTTTTTGCATCCATAATGTATTTTAGAATAGTAAAATTGTGATGTTTATTTTTTTTTAACAATAATAGAAACATAAAATTTTGATATTGGGACATCTCTATACCACACCTAGAATCTCCATATTACCTATCTGTTTTAATGGCCAACTGGCTAATAGATTGTTTCGATATCATCTGAATTCCAGCAATAATTGGAAAACTTGTACAACTGACATGCCAGACTGACAGAACAATTTCCTTGGGGGTTGCCCAATCATTTATCAAGTCGAAGCTCTGATAATGTGACAAGTGACTATTCATTTAAGTGGTTTTGCTCAAGAGCAGGTTTGCTGAGGCTGCACTCCTGTGAAAATACTGTTATTCAAATAGACGTTCAGTGAGTTCAGACAAATCATCATTTATGCATAGCTCTGTCTCTGTCTTCTTTGTGGAATCAGTAAGTACTTCAGGGATTCCCATTCTCTACTTCCCATTTGACGGTGTTAAAATAGCCCTGTCACGATAATTACTATACTGACTTATTTTTCAATATATTTTAAATGGAACAATAGTTTTTGGGGGGGTCAGTATTTATCGTGGGCGCTTTTTCTTTGTCCTAAACAGGAACTTTTTCTTATTTTTCTGTACTATGATAAGATTTTAGCTGTGACGGTTGAATAAATAACTTCCATTATCCACATTGTCGATGTAACTAGAAAAATGCGTCATTCTGCTATTAATTCATTGTAGGTCATGTTTTTAACAGTGTTGCACATTTGCATGGAGAAGATTTTTGGGAGAAACCTGCCTGTTTCTGTCTGTGGCATAAATTAGTTTCAATATTATAATTTATCATCTATATTTTCATTTCAATATTTTTTTTATTATTATAATTTATACTGAAAGATATTCATTGCCTGGTAATGTTGTTTTTTGGGATGCCTTCAGTTAATGTCCCATTTGACTGTACAGAATGTATACAAAATGAAGAGATACTATTCTTCTAAAGTTGGAAAAATTTGTAGGGCTACACACAATACAACTCAATAGAATCAAGATTGCATTATGAGTTGGTATATTTATCTAATCACAAAGGCTGCTAATAGTTGGCTAATAGTTTGTCCTCTGCAATGAGCAAAATATCCTGTCTTTTTATAGAAAAATTCTTGTACATGTCCACTTCAAATCCCCATCCACTTGATTTATATAGCACATTTTACAAACAAAGCAGTTTCCAAAGTGCTGCAGATGTAGTTTCAACCTCTTCAAAGATGTTCTGAAATGCATGGTATTCTTGTATTAGTTTTGCCGCTCATATTTTACTCTTCACTCAAAAAGCGTACACTCGGAGTCTGAACAGTATCCAAAATCGTTCAGCCCAAAAAATATGCCTATCGATTTAAAAGAAAGGTATTCTGGTAGTTGACCTTGTAAATACTTTATAGTAGCTGTTAATATTAAGGTAAAAATGGATGGAAATATGAATGCTTTTTGGTTTTGTTTCAGCTCGTAAAAGATTAGAACAGGTTGAAAATGGAGGCTGCGATCGAGACGCCAGCAGCATGGGCAGTCGTTCCAGTTCTTCAGGTATCAATCATCATAACGGTAACATCATTTTATGTTTTATTTCCTCCTTCTCACTATGATTTTCAACATATTAATAACAAAAATGTCAAAAATACAGCCTATTAATAATTTATTGTATTGCGTTTTTTATTAAGGCTCCTTGAACGTGCGTCACACTGTTAGCGTTGAGGACCGGTCCCCTGAGAGCCATTCTGTGGTGGTCACGGACAGTTTTCCGGAGGTAGACAAGGCTGTGCTGGTGGAGCGGATTGTGCGACTGCAAAAGGCCCTCGCCCGGAAACAGGAGAAGATTGAATTCATGGAAGACCACATCAAGCAGCTGGTGGAGGAGATCCGCAAGAAAACAAAGTGAGTGACACCAAAATGGTTAAACAATGAGGAAAATGTAGTTTGAATCACAGGACCTATGAAAAGTTCTGTTGGCTGTGATGCTGGACAGCTACATTATCGCTCCTAACCAAGCCCATCAATGAGCAAGATAAATGGTGTCTTTAAAAAGGTCACCAGAACTTAGGTGTGTTGTGTAACTTTTCTGATAGGAGATTTACAACATACTTATATCAATGGAGGTATTATTGCTTCAACTGGGAAAAACATGCATTCTTACTGAGAGCAGGGCTGCCTCTCCACAGATCAGACTTGTAACTTGGTGCGGTTTTAATGCACTTACATCTTTATAACTGCAGATGTTAGACCCTCTACCAGAAATGTTACATAGTTGACCTTTAATAACCGTGAGATTCAATCGTAGGCAGAAAGTTCATGTCACTTTTAAACAAACTAACTTGAAGCATATAATACAGCCACCCAAGACTTCTACAGGTTAGTGATAAGTAATGATAATGATCTATTGATGCTCCACTACTGCAGCTTCTTTCTGTTTAATTAATTAGAAAGTCACAAACAAGACAGAGTTGGTTGTAACACGCAAATAATTATTGTTCTCGGGAAGATATTTGACTTTATCTAGTAGCACTTTGCGGTTCCTCTTGGTGCATATAAAGAAGCCTGGCTACTAGGAATTAAAAGGTGCTTACCATACGACCTTGACTGAACAAATTTGCTTTGACAGTTCTAGTTTAGCCCCGGTACCTCTCCCTATCTCTGCCTCTCATTCGCAGACTTCTAATGATACAGTAATTTGTGACAAACTTCTGTCAGACCTATTTATAGTTGAGTGGATCAGGGACACTGGAGATTCACTATGGATTGTTAATTATGTTTTGTCAATTCCGAGCTGACGAGAGACTGAACGAAGGGCGTTCGGACTAGCATAATCGAGCCTCACCTTCACATGTGGGCTTTACTGTGTGCTTAGAATACAATTTAAGTATATGCGTTCACTGCTTACACAAATAGCAATTCAAGTATCTGTGTTTACGCTGCTCAGTGATTAGAATTGAGTATAATAAATGAGTTTATCAAAGCAGCAAAAAGTTCTTAATGAAACATGAATCATTACAAAACTTGGACATCTATTCCTTCCACAAACTAATATTTCTAGTTTTGACTCTATTAGCCTCAACCTACATTCAAGAGTTAAAATTGAGGACGAATCCCACGGTTGTGCAGCTAAATTTAGCCGTGCAAAATTCTGAGCGAGGCGGGGGGTGTAGCGATGTGGATGTGAATCGTGTCCTTTTTGCCTTTCTCTCCCCATCCCTCTAGGACGCCCTGGTGAACACCGACAAGATAACTGTGAGCCTCGAGCAGGAGGGGGGGAATGGAGTCAGATATGTGGAAGCACAAGTTTAGAGGACTTTGATAAAGGTTCATATGAGGCGGAACATTTTTGTTTTGTTTTTATTTACTGAAGGCACACGCCACATCTGTAACTGAATTAATGGCAGTTTTGCGCAAAAGTTATTGAAAGTTGTACGATGTTATGAACAATGAAAGAAAGAAAAAAGAAAAATGGCTTTAAGAACTGAGAGGGGAAGACCACTGCCAAGGCGCTGGTCGTGTCTCAAATGGTTATGATTTAGTGCCCTATCCTGAACTCAAATTCAAAGATTCAGATCAGGGATAAATGCTTTTCAATTAGCTAAAAATGAGCCAAAAGTTGTAATGTAATTAATACAATAAAAGCAATTCTTAATGTTCCTGATTATGTATTTCATAACCTTACACAAATCATTTACAAAAATTTATAATTTGTGTCTTCCCTAAAAATCTTATACCCAGTTTTTATACCAAAAACCTTTTGCACAATCTTGTACATTCTTAATTTACATGTGTGCATTTTCATTGCATAGGTGTAAGAATGACCTCTTCTTTCTTCAAGGACACTCCTTCAAACCCTACACCTGGTTAATATCGGCATCGCACCTAAAAGGCCTTTTTATGTGAGCTGAATTCAGATGAAAGCCAAGCACCATTTGAACAAAGCGGGAGGAGGTCTGAGGGCGTTTTTATGCAGGGAGCAGCCTTTCAGTGCTTTAGGGATGCAATCAGCGATAACTGCTCACTAGGGCCAAGTAGGTTTTGTTGTTACCCGGTGAGCATGTGCACCTGCTGTATGTGGGGGGGAATATTGGGATGGATGCAGTCAAGGTTATCAATCGATCTGTGGTCTCAGCCTGTCAGACCTTATCTTTCCTTTTTGGTAAATCAACAGGAAGTAATGTTTGTCTCACGTGGTCAATAGATTAGCTCATGCCAATAAACAAAAGGCTAAATATATACACTACCAGTCAAAAGACACACCATCTCATTCAATATTTTTTTTTCTATGTTTACTACTACTTGCTACATTTGGTAGGCACACAGAAGACATCAAATATATGAAGTAAGATATATGAAATTATTTAGTAAAGAAAAAAAGTTAAATAACAATAAGTACTATTTGGAGATGGGGCCAAAATATTATATTCCGCTTCTTGATTTCACCTCTTGAACTAGATAATTCCAAATATGAAATCACTAGATAAATCCACATTTTAATACTGACAAAATCCACTCACTGTTTGGAAAAAATGTGAGGAAGTTAAAAGTAAAAAAAAAATAAATATGAAAGGCCCTCAAGATGGCTTCCTATTTATCTAGAGACTCTCGTCTTTTACTTTATTCTTCATCGTGGTGCTGGTGCATGCCTTTCACCACATTCTCATCTCCTACGTCTTTAATTTCTGTCACTTTTTGTTTATTTCAAACACTGTCGCGAATGGAAATTGGGTCCGTAATTGGGCCCAAAGTAAAGTCTAGTTAGAGGTAAGTCTCATCTTTCTGCCTGTGCTCGCTGTATGACTGCTACTGCTACTGGTGGTGGGCTGTCTTCCCTAGTGCCTTTTTAGCTTTTAATTTTCTTTCATTACTTAGTTGTGTTTATTTAGTTGTACTTATTTATTGTAGTTGTAGAATGAGTAATGTGCGTTGATGTTTGACTTTTGATAAACAATTCAAATATAATTTAAACTAGGCCCAATATGATCTTTTAAAATATATTTTTCCATTTATTTCTGTTTCATATATTGCATGGCATTTTATTTTCCTTGGATTGGAATTTAACATTTATTTTATCAGAAGTCATTGGCATGTTTTCCTACATCTTTAAAGCTGAATAGTGCAATCACTGTCTTATTTGTGTTCCATTTTAATTCACTTGCCTGTTATTTCCATTCAATAGAAAAAGCTTCAACTATTTTTACCATAGAAATATAGTCCACACTTATTCTTAACAGCAACATAAACAATTCTTTTCTGTTTCGTCCTTCTTTGCTTTACTTTCTTGTTATTTGACCTTAGAGCAGTGTTAGTCATAGTAATAACAAACAAACTTTCTTTAGATGCTTAAAAAAGGCTAGATGTGGCTTTTTTTATACTACAATGATAAATAAAGATCACACTTTTAGACAATAGAATGAGGTTTTCAACTCAAAATAAGTCTGTAATTAATCAAGGCCGTTCTAAAACTACTAAGGAAAGGTGCATTCTGTTATCAATACTTCTAGTTTATATACCAGTTTTAGTATCAATTTTTAGTATCTGGTAGTGATTTTACTATCTTAGAATACTCTCTACGTTATGAAAGTCGCAATATAGTTGTATGTAACTTCCTACGGTCTGGCTAAGGAACTTTGTTTGCAATGAACATAACAAAAGAAGTAAAAATTGTGGCCACTCTATGCATTTATTATTCCATTTACAACTTCACAATGGACAGACTCAGACTAATTTCCTCTAACAGCACTTGTAGCTTAGACTGTTTATCTCTTTCTGTTGGTGCTTGTGAAAGAAAGCCAATAATGTGGGCAGTAATGATGAATTTGAATTGTGGTGACAGATATTTGGTGATGTTTTTTTCTAAATGGAGATAAATTACACAAGCTCCTTCAACGACATGGCTAGTATAAAGCTCTACTGATCAAACAAGCGCTGGTTACAGATTAAATATAGTTACTTCATTATGTTTGTAAGGTCCAAATTTGTGAAGCCATAGTTGACGCTTTGCGCACCTTGTTCCACCTTTTAAAATGCCTCAAAATTGAAAGAATCCACAGAGAGCAATCCAGGTGCAGTTTAAAAACTCTTTACTGAGGATTCACATTATTAGGACATACAAATGCAAACAAAAAAGGGGAACTTTAACGTATAGGTGACAGGAGGTCAAAAAACTGTTTGGCTCCACTCCACCCTCTCCTGGTACACCTGCACACGTCTTAAATAAGGAGCCATAGACCACAAAATAATTAAAAAAAATTAACATTACTTAAGTAAACTTATGATTAACATTAGCAATAATTAACTGAAAGAAAAATGTAAATGGATTAAATTATTTTGTAACAAATAATCAACAAATAACCATAAAGAATTACCAAAATACCAAAAATTATGCATTTTAAGTAAATATTAAATCATACAAAATAAGAATAATTATCTCAACAATGAAAAAAAATACAAAACTGGGTTTAGGCTCCCACAATGTTTATGACAATACCACAAGCATAAAGTTTCATTTGTTTTACCATTTTTAGTTTAGCTTCTTTTTAAGACAGACAAACAAAAAAAAGTGTACGTAGGTAATGCAACGGAACTTATTTAATGATGTGTGAATGGTTAAACAATTGTTTTTGTAGTAGTATTCAGCTAATCACAGCTGTCAACATCTAGAATATGAGAGGGGTAGGAGTTTATAAGTTTATACTTCTTTCTACTCCTTTTTGAGCTAAATTTTACTTCTGCCAAATATGTACAATAATAATATGTTGACATAATATTTCATGTTACTCAAATTAATGAACTGAAAAAAAACAAACTACTGGGATAAAAAAAATAGTCTTCTCTATTAATGGAACTCTAATGGCAGTACATCCTTGATCTGATGGAAATGTAATTCTGGGTTTCAGATGAGATTACAACATGCTATTTGTTTGTGGGTCAAGTCCATTCAATAGAAAACGTTTCAACTATTTTTATCATAGAACTATAGTCCCTACTTATTCTTGCAACATAAACATGTTTTTTCTGTTTAATCCTTCTTTGCTTTACTTTTTTATTTGACCTTAGAACAGTGTTGTCATAATAGCATTTCAAACTTTATTTTGATGCTTGAGACAAGGCTAGATAATATTTGGTTTTTTTTATAACACAATGATCAATAAAGGTTGCACTTTTAGACAGTAGGATGCCATTTTCGGCACAAAGTAAGTGTGATTTTGTAATTAATCAAGGCCATTTTTAAGTTGCGTTCTGTTTCTTTTTTTTTTTTCGCTATAGGAGTTCTTGGATCTAGTTAGTAATAGAAATAATCAGATCCAACATTTCTCCATTTATCTTTTGGATATTTAATGGCAATCGACAATGTAATCAACTGGGAAATCTGGCTCTTGCCCCTCATCTGAAATAAGGACATTGTCGCAATCTAGAATCTGAAAACCACTAATTATTCTAAGCTAATTGTGCTAAAGTTTCATTTCTACGCTAGTGTTACAAAAATCTTCAAGTGACTATTATCTATCTATCTTGTGTTCATAATGGCCTCTAATTCATGCTATAGCCTTCACACTCAAAAAAGGCTTTTATTTCTCAGTAGAAAATCCCACCTGTGAATTACAGTCTTTTATATTCCCTCCAATGACGTGAGCAACACCATAATCTTTTTTCTTAAATGTGTTTTTCACTCACTTGCACCTCTGTCCCCACAGAATTATCCAGAGCTATGTACTGAGAGAGGAGACGGGAGCGCTGTCGTCAGAGGCGTCGGACATTAATAAAGCCCACCTGAGCCGCAGAGGGGGCATCATGGCGTCCCTGTACACTTCGCACCCGGCGGACCATGGCCTGACCCTTGACCTTTCGCTGGAGATCAACAGGAAGCTGCAGGCAGTGCTGGAGGACACGCTGCTCAAAAATATTACTCTGAAGGTGAGAGAGACAACTGCACCTGACATTGGGTTAAATGAAACCAAGATTGCTCTTGTAAACTTATGGAATACGACATGTACATGTATTAAAATGTCAAATGTACTGTAAAAATGTTAATGTACCACAGTTTAAATTAGGATTGGGCAATATGTTTATAAATGTATGCAGAGAGAGTCTTTTTTAGTTTTAAACCAACTGGATTTAGGCATTGGAACTGGCAACCCAAATGAAAGAGAGATGTTTTATAACATATATTACAACTGGGCCATCATGTTAATAAATCTGCAGTACAATTGTCATCAGTAAGAGCTACATTTGATTTGAAAATGTCTATTTTATAACTGGGGACACAGAAAGCTCATGTTTTGGGAATTTTAAATGAATATTAGATACAGTTCTTTTAAATTATTCTAGATCCAAGACTACCAGTGTTTTGTCCTCCCTAACCCCAAATATCCAATACACTCATCTGTGAAAATATTGGCAGATGAGGTAAAAAATCTATAATAATTTCTGCATAACCTCCCTTAAGGTGACAGTCTATTGTATTAGCATTTCCAATATTTGATCCAGAGGTGTGCTGATAACCCTGCTGATCACAATGGAGCGATCCTGGATGCATCTGTACTGCATACATGTGCTGTCTGTGCAATTTAGAGTGATGTCTTAGTCACCGTGCCCTACAACCAATAAGAAAACAGGTCGCAAGAACCCGGTCTAGTCATTCATTCATTTGCATAGTGCTCACAACAATAACTTTTATCAGACTAACAGAATTTCCCCAATTATTTGAAACCAAACTCATCACAGAATAATACTTATGCATGTATACATGTTATTTTTGGACAATGTAAGGTTTTAGGTCAGTACAAACGAATACATAAAAGTTGGGGTCCCTTTTCTTTTTAACGTGTAGATTTTGTTTTCTGTCCCCCATAGAGTATACTGTAATTTCAGAACTTAACTGTGACAAAAATGAGACCTGCACACTGCCTGCATCTAATAATAGTAATTTATCTTTCTTTCTGTTCTTAAGTTCCTGCAAATTCATGCATTCACACATTTGAGTTACCCTTTATTATTAATCTGTCTACATCTCCAAAGCTCAAAAGTTCCACCTTGTAATGTCATGAAGTGGGAGTTTTCAAGTTAACAGCTACTTTTTACCTTTTATTCAGAAGAGATTGGAAATTCCAGGGCTGAAATTATCCCGAGCACTTACTATGCAGGGTGTTAAATGCTTGCTTGTGATGAAGAAACAGGATTATAGCATAGGTCAGATAACATGAAAGGTTTGTGAGACCATTGAACAAGGAACTAGTTGTATACACGTTTCTTCCTTGTGCATCATATCAGTTATGCTGTCAAATTCAAAACCATCACTTAATTTGTATATTAGGTTCCTTTTTTATGAAAACAAACGCATGACAGGAACAAAATTCTCAGTACTCCTTAGCTATCTTTACTGTAAATTAGAACCCCAATGCAAATGTATCTTATTCAGTACAAACCAAATAGAGCTAAGTGATGTAATTTGAAACCAATCCATCTTTTCACTGCGTGGATGTAATTTTTGCAGTAGTATGCGCCACATGCCAGTGACCAGTGAGCCAATGGACAGCTGTGGACTATTACATGTAATTACTGGACCATAAAAAGTGCGGTCTATTAACATTTTGGCTTACATTTGCACATTTCAATTATGCAAGTTCCTGTACACGACTCAAAGACAAAAATACACACTAAATGAAATCATCAAAGAAAAGGGACACAGTAATCTCCCCTGAGGTGTGTTTTTAGGCTCCCACATACTTTCATTCAAATTCTTCTTTTTACATTATTCCTTGTTCTACATCACTAACATTCCCTCGACAGCTTTAATGAGTCTAAATGCCAGTCCAAAACGCTCACTAATATAATGGCAGTCTGTTGGATATGAGAGGAAATGACAAATATGTGGTGAGTCTGATGAAATATTTCAACTTCAGTACATTGAGTGAACTTGATCTGGCTGTGTGTTTGATTTGACAGCTGTCACGACACTGGGCTTGTCAGGTTGTCACTTTTAAGGTGGAGGACTCTTGGAAAAACATTTCAAATGTTGGACTATTGATGTAGACAGTTAAAGGGAAGAGATTCAACTCCTATAGAATCTTGGGGCTTTTAACATTTAAAATGACAATTTAAACATTTCTACATTTCTGCTAAATGTTTTTGGATCTGATGAAGGGCCAGTCAACTGATTATTTACATGGACAATAGTATTGCTTTGCCTAGAATGTGGCATGGTATTAAATTTGTCTAGCTCCATGGAGGAAAGCACCCAGGTTACAGGTCAGATTTGCAGAGAGGCATTCCTGTTCACCTTAAGATGTATACGAGGGTAATTTTGGCATTAAAACAACCTGTAACTGAATAAAATCTTGATAAATGTAATAGGATAGTGTGGAACATTTCAGGCAAAGCAAAACATTTAAGTTATTAGGCTCTTTTTTCAGACCAAGAGTTCACTTTCATACCTGACACTTTCAACTGCTCACTAGCGGTCTTTCTCAGAGTGGTCATGTGATGTTGCTGTGACATGTCCGATCAGCTGATTTATACAAGTTTTGCCGCTGTCTTCCTACCGGTGGAGGCAGGATGACAGCGCCTGCAATCTGACTTTCTCAGTACCATATCCCAGGTGTGTGAGAGTAAAAAAAGCCCCCTCGTCCCAGTTTATCATCCTGTGGGCACATTTCTGAATTTCGATTGCCTCTTTAATCCAGTGACGGTGTTTGTTTTCCTCTAAACAAACACTGTGGCGATGGTGCTGTCATCCTGCCTCTACCGATAGGACGACAGCGCCATAACCTGTATAAATCAGCTGACTGGACACGTCATAGCAACATCACGTGACCACTCTGAGGAAGAGCGCTAGTGAACAGTCGAAACTGTCAGGTATGAAAATAAACTCTTGGTCTGAAAAAAGAACCTAATAACATAAATTATCGGAAGACCAAATGAACCTCATTAGACTAAAGCAAAATATTTCCGTGGTGGTGACCCTCTACCAGAAAATTACATAATGAACCTTTAAATTACTAACAATAATTTGGTGCACTAGCTGTGACTAATGTTAGTTGTAATTTCTTTTAATAATCTTTCTCATTTTTTTTATCAGTTATAATTAGTCTTTTTTCCCCTTCCAACTTGACGCAGCCTACGACCTCTTCATAAAATGTGGTGTGGGAGTGTTTCTGCCTGAGTCTTCTTTCTGGAGTTGAAAGTGATTGACAGTAAACAGGAAGTACTAATTAATGACAGTAAATCAACAGGCCTAAATTAAGACTTGGCGGCTTTCGTAACGACTCTGATTTATTGACAACTAATTGACAAATGAGATGCAAGTGCAAGAATGAACTTCACCGAAATGTTTTGCATAAATTTCTGTCTGTTTTTTAGGAGAATCTGCAGACACTGGGGGCAGAGATCGAGAGGCTCATCAAGCAACAACGCGATCCAGATGACAATGCAAAACGGAAGTAAAACACAAAACCAGAGACCAGAAACGAGGAAATATTTAAGGGAATTTAATTTAGTTTTAAACCATGTGTAATTGAAAACCTTATCGTGCACTTGATATTTGGAGAATTCAATCAGAGTTTTGAAAGTGCCAGTAGCTTGTCAATTTGAATCTGGACATACTTGAAATGCCATCTGTGAGAACTGAATCTTCTTCCTGTGGCTCAAGTCTGTCTGTGAAGAGAGCCTTGCAAAATTCTGCTTAAGAAATTGCCTTCCTCCATCTTGAATGTACAGCAGAAAAATCGAGGAATGGTCACTACAAGACATTTTAACCAAGACAAATGAGTATAGATTTCCTTCATCGCAGCTCCGCTAATTGGGATGCGGTTCCTGGCGTTCCCTCTACCTCTTTTCCCAAAGTCCATCTGCCACAGGCCAAATGTATTCGTGCTTTTGAGCTCGCCACACTCCATACGTGAAAGAAGAAATGCATTTGTGGCTTTTACCTGTCACCTGCATCAATAGTCCCATTTTCTTTGTGCAGCACTTAAAAAGGACCAAGTGAGAAAAAAAACAACTTCTGCAATGTTGAGTGAAGCCAACTCCAGAAGTGTAGTCAGACGTCATGTTTGTGAATGTGTGCACAGCTGAAGGAAGGCTGACCATGTAATGTTTTTTTTTGTTTGTGTAAAAATGGTGAATGTTAATTTATTATTCTTTGTAGCTAAGAGATATTTTATTTTTTAAATATTAATGATTATACTTTTATTTTAATCATATCTTTTTGATTTAAATATTTTTGCCTTTTTTCTGTTTTGTTCCTATTTGTCACAAATTACAGGTGCATCACAATTATATAACATCGTGTTATGTCAGTGATTTAATTCAATGTGAAGCTCATGTGATATAGATTAAATGAAGGTCTTAAAATTAAAATCATATATTTTTACCCATTTTTGTTCGTTCATTGGTTTACAGCATTCAACAAAGCAATAGGGATGCAATCCAATACCAGTATTTGATATCGGCACAGACACAAAAAAATTGCCAGATCAGATAATGGCTTTCAAATATCAGTTCAACCAATATCCAGGATGTTGGACATATAGATGTAATAAAGAGAGACTCAAAGTTAGAACTTTTATTTACACAAAGCTGTTCATTACTTACTTGTAGGATAAACAGCTACATTTGTTTCAGTTTTGTCTTATTTTATATACTTTTTTATTTTATTTAAGGAAATAAAGTTTTCAGTGTCTGTGCTGGTATTGTTTAATATCACAGTTGGAGAAAAAGCTGGATCGTTGCATCCCTAATCCCCCCAAAAAATGTAATTTATTAGATAACTTTAACTACTGAAATATTTTTACTTTTTAATGATTCAAGAAACATTGTCATGCACTTGAAATTTGAGATGAAGTTGAGATTTTGTCCTGACTCCTCTTGCACTGTGTGTGATAATATCTACCAACGAAAGGGGCAAAAATGTTTTATTCCTTTTGATGTGTTTTTCTTTCTATTTGTTGCTCAACAGAGTCCATCAAAACAAGTCAAAGGGTTTGTAGGTGTAGCTCAGGAAAGCTAATAGAAAGAAATATATCTTGGGACAAAGTGCAATTCTGTTCCTACTTTTATTAAATTACCTTCTTTTTTTTTTTCAAGTTGTGTGTGCCAGAAATTTGTCTTTTTATGATTGTCAGTTTTGTGTTATGTTGTCTGCGCGTGCATGGCTAAAATTTATGTGCCTTTTAAATGTGTTCCAGCTGCCTGAGCTTGTGGACATTCTCAAAATTGACCCTAAAGTTTTGTAAAAGAGTTTTGAACTACAAGCACGCACTAGCACCTGCAGAGCTATACCTCCTCATTACATTGACACAGCATGACAAGCAACCTGGTTTTGAATGTGTAAGCCATAAGTATTTGATGTGATGGAAATAGCTGTCACAGAAGATAAGTCTCTTGGTTCTTTGTAGCTCAATCGAATGCTGGCTTTATGGGTCATGAATGGTTACTGGTCCATCTCTGTACCTACGCCTCAGGGCTGTGTAGAAATGAAGAGATAAAAGTTTTAAGGATTGAGGTCTTGCAGCTCCTATAACCTACTTGTACAGTGCGTCTGGCGTTGAATGCTAATGTTGCAGGAATTATCTTGTCAGTGGATTTGAACAACCGCATGACAAGACGGTATGGTTCCTGGTTTTTCATGTTAAAGGGCCCATATTAGGCTATTTTCTGCTCTATGTTGTAATGTTTCCTCATCTAAACATACCTGGAGTTGTGTTATTATTTCATTAACACAGGTTTAACACACAAACCCTGTATATTTAAGATTTACAAACAGAAAACACTCTGTTCCATCTTGTCAATCTCCTGAACAAAAGATTAAAGGTGACTGTTAACAACTACTAATACTACTACCACTTCAAGACACAAGATGGAACAGAGCATTTTGAGCATTGGAGATGGAGACAGACTGATGTTGCAGGATTACTCAAACGTGTGAATGAAACAAAACACAATTTCAGATATATTTTTCAGGAGGTAACAACATTATAACATGGCTTAAAGATCACAAATTTGCGTGACATAGGACCTTTAACCCCATATCCAGATAGTTTTCATCCATGTACTACTTTCTTCGTTTCTATTATCCCAAAACATCTTCTCTAAGCCTCAAGAGAAATTTTCTGTCTCTAAACGAAGAATTGGTCAAACCCAAAGGATAAAGTAAACCTTACTGACCAGGTGAGGCAATGTAATGACCACTGATATTGAAATTAACACAAATTATCTGTACTTAATGAGTCTCTGTTAAGAAGGTGGAAATATACCCCAAAAATGTAGTTTAAAGGAAACATACAGTGCAAAATCAACTTTAATCTAACCTATTTCCAAAATGTAAAATAATTATATATTTATGTTTATAGTCTAATACTACGTAACTGAGAAAGAGCATAATAAGTCTTCTCTAAAACAATATTCCTAAGAAATCTACCAAAAGTGCCAGGTGCAGGTGTGGGTTGTGAAAGAAGTTAATGCAACACAGATCATTAAGAAATACTGTCCCAACTATCTCATCTTATATGTTAATAGTGCAAATTATTAGAAAGACATTTATTTAGCATCAGCTCTTGGAGCAAATGAAACCATGCTGTAGCTTTTGTCAATGAATGTGATTTGTGCATTATGTGTGTACTGATGCCTCAGTAAATGATCATGGAAAAATCATATTTCAGTAGCTCTACTCACTACAACTGTATAGTCGATATATGATTATTTTAAATTGAGATATTATTAGTTTACCCACTATTTATCCAAGCTTCGGACAACACAAATCGGTTTCCATGTTAATTGATCGACTGAAATGACAGTTCTCCGTGATATTTTACTGAGACTCATCTGTCTGTGAGTGTAATAAGTATGGCATTAAATGACTTTAAGATCTCTTTTCTGTGCAATGATTCTCCCCCATCTGTTATGTGGAATAACCAAACTGTGATTATGTATACATTGTAGATAATGTTCTGATGAAACATTTTTAAAAACACTGATTCTGGATTATGTTGTGTATATACAGTGTCCAGGGAATAAAAGGGGTTGACTCTTAACTTTCTGTTGTTGATGAGTGGTGTTTTTTGCTAATAATTGTTGTCCTTTGTACCGCAGTCTTTAGTTAGGATTCCAGGTGAAGAAGAGGTTGGACTTGGAGATGTGGAGATAACACACACACACACACGTCTCAGAGCACATTTCAAAAGCAGCAGAGTCAGCAGAGCCGGAGGTCAGTGCTCATCTCTGCACCACTGTCAGTCAAGTCAGAGACAGCTCTACATAAGACACATTTAGAAATAAAAACCCTTTAGACATGGGCAAAGAGACTAGAAAATGTGATAATTGTTTTCTTCTTTTGTCCTGAAGGCTTTATTGGACAGGATTTGTTGCCTTAAAATTGGGAGAGAGCAGGTAGAGACATTCAGGGAAACAGTTGAGGCATGTGTACATCACCTTAAACCCCTACACCACCAACAAGCTCAGGAGTTGAGGAGAAAATTCAGTGTGTCGACTAGACAAAAATTAGTTTGGTTGAAGACGTTTCGCAGCTCATCCAAGCTGCTTCTTCAGTTCTGAACTGGATTCTACCTGGACGACTGAGGGATTCTTCACACAAGCTCAGGAGTTGTTTTTGAAGAAACTAGTTTTAATAGGTTGGGGGGTCTGTCATCTGCTTGTTTGGATATGCTATTGCTCTACCTGGAATGTTCCACAGTATGGAATTAAACAGCTTTAATTTGTTAGAAGAAATTACAAGTGGTTTTATAGCTCAAAAATACAAAGAAAAACATGCATTCTGACTGTGAGCGCAGTCACCTCTCCACAGACCTGACCTGTAACTTTTGGTTTGGTGTCCATGAAGATATATATATTTAATGCCATATTGTGATATGTGAAACATTCCAGACAAAGAAATAATATCTCCATGGAAAAAAACATTTGACGGACCTGTTATGGAAAAAATTATTTATCTTTTAATGATAATTAATCCATTTGCGAAGCCTGATGAGTTTTTGGAATATAGACCAAGGTTTTTGGGGTTTTTTTTGTTACAGCAGATATGGACAGGGCCTAGGCCTGCCCTGGCCACAGACCAACAGCCTCTCTTAACCAGCAGTATGTCCCTACTCCATTTTGACCGAGTCTCTCCCCAAGTATCTGCCCCAGAGCATCTGAGCTCTGAGTATTTATACATTTATACAGAAATACAAGTGACATACATATCAAAGCAGAGTGACTTTTGTTTCAGAAGCTGGTGCTAAATTAACATACATTTGAGGACAGGTAAGACAACAAAGGGCTTCCTGAAGGAGGAGACACTTGTGTTTGCTGAGCCTTTGCACATGTTAATGACTGCTCTGTGTTTCGGGTAGGAATCAAATTCATTTACACAAAGACAGATTGACAGAAATCTTTCCACAATATAAATTTCCATCACTGACCCTCCAGTAGAAAAGTTGCACAAGGCACCTTTACTTTTTTATTATTTTTATTTTTTGTCAAAATATCCAGTTTTGCATTTTATCGAATGCAACATCATGACATAACAAGGTATTTCATCAAGGTATTTCATTAAGTTGTAAGTAGAAGTAAACTCTTTAGCCAAATCTATTAACAAGATATCGGATATCTATGTAAGATATCGGACTATCAACAAGTGTAGATCAGAAGTGAAAACCATTGTTTTTATTAGAATGATTAGTGAATAAAACAACATCAAATACTGTAAAATCTGCGTATTGTCAAATATTAGCTATAGTTCATCATATTAAAAGTAACATGGGTTCAAGCTGCATAAGGTACAGCATTTGAATCATACATCTTGTGCACATATATCATTGAGACAATGTGTTAAAGAGGAGCCCATTAGCCTCAAACCAGTGTATAACAGAACATCAAAAGCTTTACTCGAGCGTGCTGTCTCTGCTCATATTAAAATCATTGATGCTTCGGTGGAACAGTCAGGTATAACAGCCTCATGAATGTGCACTGTTCTTGGCTCTGATTCGAATAACAGGGAACTGTACCAGAAAATTTGTTTTCTATTTGTTGGGAGGTAGAGTGACAGAAAGGAGCAACTGCTGTACCAGGGCTTGTTTTTCCACAAGTTGAGCTTTGAAAAATCAATCGATGTCATTAAAACTAATTAAAATTCTTACTTTAGGGTCAGAAAGTTCATGTTCAATTATCTGGTACAGAATGTATATTGGTCATTTGCATAATTTATAAAGTTGATGAGGATAGGATTATCTCTAACACAACCTTTTTCCTTGATCCAAGTTTGAATTAGTATATTGCGAATTGTAATTTTAGATACATGTAAAATGAAACAAAAACAAAAATAAGTCTGAGCATGTTTGGACTATAAATAAGCATTGCAGAACAAATCCCTATATTAACATGCTGCACAATTTAGTGTTGATTTTGGCTAAGTACGACAAGGATTTTTATTATTGTGATGACCTTTACCTATTTAACTCAAAACACGGCATTTGTTTTTGTCATTATTTGCATACCTTTTCATATTTTGATCATACCCTGCTTGCTAAACTGTTAAAATGTCACCTGTGAATCCAACATCACTCTCTGGCATTCTCTATTATCTTTCCCACGCATGCACATTTGGAGATTCGAAAAAAAAAAAAAAAAAACCTCCTCCAAACCAGCTGATCGCACCTGTCGTCAAAATAACATCTCATTTTACTTGAAAGTGAACCATCTCTCCTCTTCAATAGTCCCAACACATACACGCACATATTTCCTATTTACCTGCGGCTGCACTGACAGGTTCAAATATCCAATTCAGGGCAGTATGAGCAGCAGTCTATTTTTAGCTCGGTGATAAGGAATCCGCTTCAGATGGCCACCCTACATTTTACAAGGCATAGCTCTGCCCTTTAGACACAGGTCTGTAATAGTCGCTCCCCAAGATGAGCAAGTCTATTTGAGTTCCTTATTGGTAGTTTTCAGTATTTTTAGAATGTGATTATGTCATTATCCCAGATGGAGGGCAAGAGCCACATTTCCCTTTTGATTACATTTTATTTTACCATGAAGTATCCAAACGGTAAATCCACCTGATCATTTGTATCAGTGATAGACCGAAGAACGTGCTGTATTACAACAAAAAATGAAATTCCAACAATATTTTCGCTGTCTTCCATCTATATTAAATATTATTGACCTATATAATATTGTGATCTCTACTGAAATGCAGTAATAGGATCATATGTAATATTAAGATAAAATCAATGTTGAAAAAAAGAGCTATTGCTTAATTAGATTTCTCAAGTGCTACTTTACTTAGCATTGGAAAGCAGCTACTGTTACCACCAGCAGTAATGGTACTATATGTCATTCTATATATTTACTTATGTTATAACTAGGGATGTAACAATAACCGAAATATTGTGATATCGTATCGTCAAAAGTCTCACAATAATATCGTGGGCTGTCACAATATATCGAATTACAAGTTCCTTTGCTTAAATGCATGGTTTTATAGTAGCAACAGCTTATGAATGTCAGAAACTACATATCCCATGATTCATTTCTGTGCAAACAACTTGAAGTGATATGTTTTTTACTTGAATTCTTGGGATTATGGAGGAAATAATTCACACGAAAATCTTGTCAACGTATTTTAAAAGCAAAAAAGTGTCCTATCTACAGTTATATCAGCCTCTCCAAATATCGTGATAATATCGTACCGAGAGATTTGGATATCGTTACATCCCTAGTCATAGCATCTTCCACTATAGTGATGGTACATTATTATTACTAATAATCAGGGGCAACAGTAGCTCAGCTGGTAGAATGTTTGCCATCAATGAAGGTTGATGGTTTGAATCCTGCTCTCAGACACTTGACACGTCTCACCCCCATGTCTGTGTACACTGCTGTATGCACCTCAAAATAGTGTTAATACTGTCTTCACTACTACTATTGAATGACCAATAACCAATGATGTTTTATGGGATTCAAACCACCAACCTTTGGATCAGTAGACAAACACTCTTACCAACTGAGCTACTGTATCATTACAACATCAACAACTTCTACTAGTTCTTCAACTTCTACTACAGCCCCTACTAATTTTCCTTTTTACACCCATTGATGCGTATATCTTAAGATTATGTTTTACTACCATAATTAGTACTATTACAACAACTAATAGTGCTACTACAACTACTACTGGCACCATGACTACTTCTACTACATCTATTACTACTACCTTTGCTACTGATATCATAATACAGCTACCTCTTTTCTGCTGATGCTAATATTAGACTTCAACATGGGCTCTCATTATAATTAGCCTTTTGCCTCCCTCTGAGACTTATATTCAAATTTATTTTACTTTTGGATGAAAAATGTACTAATTCATTAAAAAAATCAAATAGTCTATTTACATTTTGGGGGGCTTTTTCTCACCGTGCGTAATTTTAATCTTTGCCTCCCCATGTGAATTTTCCCATTTAAAAAATTAGCTGGTTTCTTGTCACGTCTCTCTGTGAGATGAAATTGTGAAGTTATTTGCTCAAGTAGTGCTCTGATACATTAGACTGTAGCACCTAATTTATTTTTACCGTGCAGGTCACGCTTGGGGCTGCAACTTGGATGATTAAAAATTATTTCATCCACTTCTCGACTCTTTAACATGGAACACACACCATGTTTTATCTGACAGTTTCAGATTCTCTTTCCAAATTGTATGGGAAGCATGCAAGTGTGAAAAAGGTGGCAGGATTTATTCAGGGTCATTGCTTTTTGTCCACCATTTTGATTTCTTGGTAGCCTTGGGGGCACTGAGGTAGAAACCTGTAGTGGTCAGCACTCAGGGAGAAAACGTACAGCTGATAATGTGGACTGTAGAGGTCACCTGCGGGGTTGGACAGTGACCAATGGGGCTGTTCTTACCGGCCTTTCACTGAACAGGGGCAAAAACCTGCCCCATATTACACAAAATTGACTCTGTGAGCTCCAAGCCATGTTAGAATGTCAGTATCTATTCTAAAGCAGTAGTTTTCAGCTACCTTTTACCTTTAGTTCAGTG